ACAGGCCTGTGTGGAGGCACACAGGCCCCTGGGGCACCCAAAAGACACACGGAGGTCCCCAAAAAGCACCCCCTGGCCCTCTTCACCCCCACCTGTGCCCTGTCCCCTCCCCGGGCCCCCCCATGGCACAGGTCCTGGGGGGGGCACCCCCACATCACCCCACGGGAGCCACCATGGCACCAGGCGGAGATTTATTGCCCAGGGGCAGCATTGGGGTGCTGGACCCCACAGGCACCCAAGGGTGGTGGGTACATGGGGGGCTGGGATGTGGGTGCTGTGTCCCAGGGGCACCCGGGGGTGCTGGGGACATGGGGGGCTGGGCCAGGGGATATGCCGTGGGGTGGGTTGCAGGAGGACCCCAGGGGACCTGGCTAGTCCTGGGCACACCCTGGCTCCTGGGCCTGGCTGGGTGCCAGCTCCTGCATGTCCTCCTCGGTGGGTGGCCGTGTCCTCTTGAAGAAACCCACCTGGCAAAGGGACACGGTGACAGCCCAGCCCCGGGGGACCCCACGCTGTCACCCCCAGGGGACCCCACAGCATCCCCCCAGGTGCTGCCCCCCACACTTTACCTCCCACCCCCAGGGCTGGGTCTCCCATTTCATGGGTCCCTCCAGTGCCATCAGGGTCCCACCGCCATGGGGGGGCGTCACTGGTGTCCCCCATGCCACACTCACCTTCCACATGAGGACGATGAAGAAAGTGAGGAGCAGGAGCCCAGCCAGGACCCCCAGCACCACCCACCACACCGGCACGGCCCCCTCGCCCCTGGGGCTGGCACGCACCACCTCGGTGACAGCCTGTGGAGGGATGGGTGGGTGACACTGCTGCCACCGCAGCCTGTCCCCATGTCCCCTGTGCCCGTGCCAGCCCTACCGTGGCCTCCCCGGCAGGCAGGACGCGGGGCTGGACACGGTAGGGCATGGCCGAGGTGTTGAACCAGGCTTGCGACTGGATAAGGAACTGCTTCAGGAGGTGCTCTGGCTGGGGAGGGACATGGGGACACGTGGGGACACAGGGGGACACACAGGGACATAGCATCAGGGGTGCTGGCAGCCAATGGGGCACCCATGACCCCACACCCCCCATCCCCAGGGTTGCCGTCTGCAGGTCCCCAGGGGCCACCATGCAGGAGGGGACATGGCAGGGACCCCCCGGGGACACAGAGCCATGCTGTCCCCAACAGGGAACAGTACCTGCTGCAGGGTGTCCATCCAGAGCAGTGCATGGATGCTCACCAGCGCCCGCTGGTCCTTGGCCAGGCTGGGCACCTGGCAGGCGATGCCCACGCAGGTGGCATTGCTGCAGTCCTGCGGGACACA